ACATCTTGTGGATTATAGGCCATCAACGATGTGTCCGTAGGTGGCTAATAAGACCGATGTTAGCACGGGATGTTCTGCCACATACTGAACAAAGAAATGTAGACACTGTTACTTCTGCATTTACAGCTCTGGCTTTGCGGAGTGCTTGCTTCTCTTGTGCCAAGATTGTCCTTCTGTGTTCATATGTCTGGCAACCCTGGTACACCAAGGTGCGCCATGTCGGTCGATCATGCGCCAGAAGTTCCCAAGAGATGGTGTTAATATCCAGGGACTTAAGAGAGGCTTTCAACGTATCGCTTCTTTTGTCCCCCGTGCGATCGATTTCCTTGAGACAGCTCACCATAGAAGAGCTGTTTAGGGATGCGATGATCTGGCATCCTTACAACATGGCCTGCCCAGCACATCTGGGCTTTCATCAACAGAGTGTAAACTGATGATAGGCCTGCTCTGGAGAGGACATCTGTGTCTGGTATCTTATCCTGCCACCGGATCCTCAGAATTCTACGAAGGCAAGTCATGTGGAAGTAGTTCAGTTGCCTAACGTGCCTCCTGTACACTGTCCAGGTCTCACTAGCATACATCAGGGTAGTTGCTGCCTGGTAAACTTTAAGCTTAGTAGCAAGGCTTATTCCACGGCGGTCCCACACGTTAGTCCGCAATCTGCCAAATGCAGAACTTGCCTTGGCAATTCTACAGTTGACCTAATTGGGAAAGGGTACTACCAAGATACGTAAATTGGTCCACTGCTTGCAGCTTTTGTCCCTTTACTGTGATGGTAGGCTCTTGATATTGGGCTTTTGGAACTGGCTGGTACATCACTTCAGTTTTCTTCGTGTTGATGAAGAGGCCAAAGTGGTCACAAGTGGCTGCAAATTTGTCCATGCTGGCTTGCATTTCCTGCTCCGATCCTACATTAAGGGCACAGTCATCAGCAAAGAGGAGATCTCAGTAAAAGATAAATGAATATAGTTAGGAACATCTTGACCTTCATCTTTTATTTTCAGGAAACTCATATTCTGGAATATATGGAATGCTGGTATTTATAGTGTGCCTAATCTAAAATACCTTCCTCATGGCAAAAATTCAAATAATCAGTTAGGTAGAAAGAGGAAGAGCCTTCCTCGTGATTCATTAAAAAAGGGTCTTAATTTTTAAAAAACTGCTAAGTATTTTTAAAAAACTTCAAATGGTAGCATCCCTTAAAATGGTCATTCTCAGAACAGAGTTTGTCTGTTTAAGATGCTCCAAATTCTCCAAGAAGATGTATTATATTGATGGTTCAGGTATATTATTCTTATATGATTTGTAGCATTGTTGCAGGATCCAATCTGGGTCGGTCACCGGGACCAGAGGTTTCGTCTTCTGAGTTTTCAGACTCACTCTGGAGCCCATCCTCAATGTAGCATTGTGTTATTTAGACATGCTTTCTGGAGTTTAATGTAATTATTAAAGACCTTCCCCCTCTACCCAACTTCCAACAGCTCTGTGTGTCTTTTGATAATCAGCTATGTAACATGGGGACCTGTTTCTGAATAGAAAATGCTCTTGGCACATGAGAGATCAGCATAATCACCAGCCAACCACTTCTTCCAGTACTGAAGATCCATTTAATTATGGTCCAAAATTGATATTTCTATTTATTTCCATAAAGAGATATTTACTATAGTTCTATCCGGACTTGGCTGATTTCAAAACCCGAATAGAGTTTCTTTGGATGAGACGAGGAAATTCCAAGGCAATAGGCTTACCGTGGAAGCTTAAAAACAGGCCACAGTAAATGTTTCTGTAATGTTCCTAAGAAAACTATATGGAGAAATCTACAATATGTAGTCAGCAGGAGCTGAGCTTGATTTTTAAAAGATTTTATCGCTATTTAATCAAATATTAGGCTTTCTTTAATGATAGCCCATATTATTTTTTATTATTTAAAAAAACCTAAATCTTTACACAGAAAGTTATCTTTAGAACAGGCAGTGAAACTGCCCTATAAATATTGTAAATACAAGGCTTTACGAAGATTGGAATGTATGTTGTGACTAGAAGATCATTATTATCTGAATTCATTGGTATTTTCCAATTAAAATTATGTAGTGGAGACAGATAATAAGTATCCACAGGTTAATAACTGACATAATTCTCTTGGTTGAGAAGTGAGTAGCACACATGCCCTTCTCTTCTGTTAAGAGATTCTATATGTTCTCATATTTCCATACGAGAAAAATACCTGTCCAAGCTTTGTGTAACTGCTGATGACTGCACGGCTGCCTTTCTATCTCACTGTCAGTTTTCCAAAGGAATCTGGTTGATTGATCATTACAGATAGTCCTCATTTAACAAACACAATTGGGGCCGGTAACTCAATCGCTAAGTGTCACTGTTATTAAGTGAGATATTGCCTGATTGCTATGGACTTGCCTCACATCTGCCATGGTCATTAAGCAAAACATCATGTGACCATGACTTGCACTTTTACTGCCAGATTCTCCATTGACTCTGCTTGCTGGAAGCAAACTGTGAAGCATGCAAATAACGATTGCATGGCTATGGGGCACTCTTAATTCGTCACTATGCAGTAATATATCACTGTATATATTACTTTTTTTTTGATGTAAGATTTTTTTTTGTATTTTTCTATTAAGAATACTGTACACACAAAAAAACCAATTATATTGTTCTGATTGTGGTAAAATATATGTACTTTTGGGTTTTTGTCTTAATATTTATATGATGCTTTCACTCACTTGTCCTTGAAAGGACAGTGACATCTAATGGTTGTTCAAAGTAATTTCAAGTAGCCAATTTGTATATTTATTTTATTTTATCACCTCATTGTCCCACTGTGTTCTTGACATGATTACACTAAAATTACTGCTAGTTATGTTCAGGTTAATGAAAATAAAATGATATGCATTTTAACTTACAGAAGTAAAATGTGCCAATTAATGAAAACCTTTGCTGTTTAGCAAGTTCCTTCTGCATATAGAGTGGTGCTTAAAAGTTTATGAACTCTTTTAATTTTTAATACTTTTGCATTATGAACTGTGGTGGCACAGTTAGAATGCAGTATTGCAGGCTAATTCTGCTGACTGCCAGCTGCCAGCAGTTCGGCAGTTCGATCCTGACCAGCTCAAGGTTGACTCAGCCTTCCATCTTTCCAAGGTCGGTAAAATGAGGACCCAGATGGTTGGGGGCAATATGCTGACTCTGTAAACCGCTTAGAGGGAGCTGTAAAGCACTGTGAAGCGGTATATAAGTCTAAGTGCCATTGCTATTGCTATTATCTACAATCTAAATATAACATGTTTCTACACAAATCTTAAAAGTCGAAAAAAGAGAACTCAATTAAATCAATGAGTCAAAACTTAATATTTGTTCATTTATTTATTAGGAAAATGACCCAAAGCTACATATTTGTGTGTGGCAAAAGAATGTAAACCTTTGCTTATAATACCTGGTATGTCATGATTGGGCAGCAATAACTGCAACTATTTTTTTCTGATAACTGTGATCAGTCCTACACATTGGAATTGTAGTTATTTCCTCCTTCCAGAACAGCTCAGAGATGTTAGTGGGCTCCCCCACCCCAAGAACTGCCCACTTCAGGTCCTTCCACCACATTTCTGTGGGATTAAGGTCAGGACTTTGACTTGGCTTTCCCAAAACATTAATTTAACATTAATTTTCTTCGGCTTTAATCATTCTTTGGTTTGTGTGTTTTAGGTTGTTGTTTTGCTGCATGTCCATTTTTTCTTGAGCTTTAGTTCACAAAGAGGTACCCGGACATTTTCATTTAGAATTTGCTAATACAGTTCAGAATTCTTAGTTCCATCAATGATGGCAAACAGTCCTGGTCCAGAGGGAGCAAACCAGGCCCAAATGATGATACTGCTATTACCAAGATTCACTGATGGTATATGGCAGGGATAGGCAACCTCGGCTCTTTTATGACTCGTGGACTTCAACTCCCAGAATTCCTGAGTCAGCATAACTGACTCAGGAATTCAGGGAGTTGAAGTCCACGAGTCATAAAAGAGCCGAGGTTGCCTCCCCTGGTATATGGTAACAAGTATAATGTTTTTGACTCATTTGCCTAATTGGGTTCTCTTTATCTTGCCTTAGGACTTGATAAATATTGGTATTGCTTATTTGGGGAAATTGATTGATATACTCAGTGGCATTAGCCCACAAGAGTCCATTGTTAAATTTTCAGGAATTTTGCAAGTGGGTTAAGAGCAGGCCTGAGCTGTGACTCTTAGCAGGCCAATCAGATGTTTGGCGGCTTGCAACACAGCAGTGTCAGCAAGAGAAGGACTGGTTGCTATGCATTTAATAGCATACTACTGAACATACTCCATTAGTTATCTAATGTTATTTTTCTGCATCTTTGTTATTTTTCTGTTTTAATAAGTGATCATTCCATTGTATCTTCTGTGAATGGGAATGGACTGTTTCTCTTTTTTGCCACTGTGGATTTGATGGTGAATTGATATATTTTCACGAAATAATGTAGCTGTAAAATAGTATTTCTTTTCATAAAATTGATTTTGACATAGAACTTATAAGTTTTGTTTGCTGAATAAAGACAGCTACATTCAAGACATGTGCAATGTATATATGCACTGTATTATAAAATATTGATAAAATGATTTGCAAAAAATTACTTCTAAAAACATCAAGGATCTCCTATTATGGTATCTGTCAAAGCTTTTGAAACAGAACCATGCAGTAATTTACATCTTTTTATCAATGTATTTGCAGCTTTTGCCTATAACTGGTTGGCATGCCATAAGTTAAATGTTCTAAGAAGCCTAGCCAAATGAGATACCGTTGAACTTAAAAGAAGAATAAAGATTACTTCAAGGAGTCGGAGATTGCTTTCCAGCACATAAAATGCACAATAAATAAAATCCAGTATATAAACAAATAACTAGTTTTCTTTAATCTGGCTCTTCAGCTTTTTCTTGGACTTTCTCTCTGTTAACTCTGTTGTTTCTTTTTAGGTACCAAGGCAGCTGCAGAATATACAAATGGTGTCTATGACATAGTTTCACCCGCTCAATCAATGTATTTTGGCTCACTTCAAATTTTGCACCTCTTGGAAGATTTGAAGTTAGCGTTAGAAATGCTCAAGGATCCTCAAGAGAAAGAAGCTTTGTGGCATCAAGTACCAGGGGCTACAATAGCTTGCATACATGACTGGCTGGAGGAACATCTGGTAAGTAAAAGCAAAAAACAATGTATATATTGTATTGCTGGAGGGTATCAACTCCTGTTTCTGCAGTATTTTTGTTCTGAAATATCAGAAATGGCTATGTAATAAACTTCTTAAGAGTTGTTTTGTATAGGCAATACTACTTGATTAAAAAGCCAAGGGTTACCACAGTGGTTTTCCTTGTGTTTGGTTACAGTTGGTGGATTTCCAGTTTTAGGATTTCAACTAGCAATCCTGGAAAAGATCTTCGCCAGAGGACTGCATCAAACATAGCAGCAGATCTGAGACTTTCACTTGGATGGACTACCACAAAAAAAAGTGGTAACAGAATAGGTAGATGAATTGCCTAATTAGGATAGAGTAATAATAGAATCAGAAGAGATCTCTGAGAGCCCTTCCCACTCTACTATTCTATGTCAGGGGTGTCAAACTCGCAACATCACATGATGTGTCGCAATGTATCGTGACTTTTCCCCCATTGTCAGCACTGGGGTGGGCGCAGTTTCGGCGTGACGCATCCAGCCCATGGGCTGGCATTCTATGTGGATAGAAATGTGGATAGAAATTTAAACTATTGCAAGATATGAGATAGTTTTGGTTCCAGAACAATAGCAGGTTAAATATATATATATAAAGTAGTTTCATGAATTTGTCCTCCTCAATGACAGGGCTTGGTATGCAAAAGAAATTTGAAAGTTAATACAGTATGTAGTTGTGCTTTGAATCAAATTAACATGCACTACAGCTTTGGAATACTTGCAGCTGGTTTGATAGCCAAGGGCCCTTTCCTAATGTTTCATAATGAAGTCTGTAATACTGAGAACTTGTGGCTCTTGCAGATTTCAAAACACCTTAAAACAGTGGTTCTCAACCTTTTTAATGCCGCGACCCCCCAACCGGTCGTAAGTCGAGGACTACTCAACCGGTCATAAGTCGAGGACTACTCAACTGGTGCAGCACCGTTTGCAGAATGGGACTTTTGGTGGGCTCAGCAGAGCAGAGACAGCCTGGACAATTCCTATTGGTTTTTGAAAGCCAATAGAATTAGACTCTATTCAAGAGAGTCTATTCTATTGGCTTTCAAAAGCTAATAGAATAAAAGGGAGTAGCACAGCTAAGGAAAAGGGGGAAAAAATGGCGGACTGCATTGTTTGGCGACCCCCGTGAAGTGGTCATTTGACCCCAAATGGGGTCCCGACGTACAGGTTGAGAACCACTGCCTTAAAAGGTTTTGAATAGATTTATAAAATTCCACAATACAAGAGCTTCTCAGCTGCATGGTGCACTTCCTTAGAAATTGCTAAAGGGTACATATCTTGCTTTTTTGTGTTGTGTTTTGAATATTACCTCTACCCTCTTAAGCTTTAAATCTGAAGGGTTTGGTTCTGGTTAATCCATTACTTAATAATAATATAGCTAAAGTTATAAAATTTGCATGATTTATTTTATTTTTTTACTTTCCTCTATCTCTCTGCAAAGTTAGCTTCCAAAGAATTCTGTGCTTCATTTGTCACCATCCTAATATTAATTATAGGTATAGAGATAGGAAATTGTATTATTTCATTTGACATCTAATTTGTTGCTCGGGAATAAGCTTACAAGGAAATGTATGTATTATCAGCTACTAATAGTTTCCTGTAAAGGAAATTGTTCACAAAGAGACACTACACTTTTTTCCTAATTAATATTTGTCATACTATATTCATGTTATCATTAACTAAATTGATCTAAATTAACTGTCTAAAGAGTATATAGTTCCAGATATATATTTAGGCTTATTTGCAGCATTTGTGCAGAAATGTATTCGTGGCAATCATAACATTAGGAAATGCTAAGGAACACATGAGTTGGTTCCACTGGTTTGCTTCAACAGGGTAATGAATCTTCAGCATATAATGCAAAGTAGTATTCAGAAAACTAATGTAAACAAAAATCAACTTTGAACTCTATACTGTTGTCTTTTTAATTAAAATATTGTAATATTCATTTAAAATATGGCCACTTTAAAATCTATGTCAGGTTGGTGAAGCAGAACAAAGAAATCTTAATTTATTATATTTAACATTGTTCTTCTAGACCTATAGTAAGGCTCCATTACATCTCTTCAAGATGAAAGCTTTGTATTGTTCTGATAGAATTACTCTGTATTATATGAGCAACATTCAGTGGTCAGCATCTTATGATAGAGATTATTAGGAAGCTCCAGAATTGGTTAGAAAGGATAGACATTGCTAACTTTGCATTTCCATTAAGAAAATAATTTCAGGATTACTTTTTAAAATTGGTGGAGCAGTGGTTTCTGCAGTTGCACTTATGATTTTTTCCCCAGTAAAATCAATTAGTGGCAAAAGCTGTCCTAATTTTCCCCATCATTAACTTTTTTTCTCTTATACTTTGAGGACTGAAACATTGTAAATCAAAGTCTGTTTACATGAGATATTACAGTTGAACTATCTTAGAATGGGTCTTAGAGTCATGCACAGGGCACACAACAGATTTAATTTCTGTTCAGTGAAATCTTTGACATAGTCTTCCAATTCACTACCAAATTAAAATTCAAGATGATTTAAATTTGAAATGTTTTATATGCCCCCTAGAAAGAGTAACCCAATGCTTTATAATAATGTAGCTAAAATTATAATGTTTGCATGATTTATTTTAGTTTAGTTTATTTGTCTTACTTGCTCTATGCAACGTTACCTTCCCAAGTCATACCTTTAGAGTATCATATTGAAACCATTTTGTATCCAAGTAGGAAATTAAATAAAAGGATGATATTAGCAGAATGTTTACTTGCTCTAGAAATAAGTTCTATATGTAACAGTTGTTTTCTTTTTCCCCAGGCATAAGTTAATAACTTGATTTCTGGGCAGTCAATAATTTGAAATTGCCCAAATGTTATCCATCAATCAAGTTGAACGCCTTCAATTGCTTTATAAACAAACCTGAAATTTAATGGGTTTGTTTTCTTATATCCTGTATCAATCCCACAGAAAAATGATATGAAGACATAAAATGAGATTTTGTAATTTGAGTAATATCTGTCACCCATAAGCCTTTAATTCAAATATCACCACAAGTTTACAGTGACTCAAAAGGTTTAGTTAATTAGTAATGAACAAAACCTGAGGTCAAAATTTCCAATTACAGTCCTAGTACTTCATTACAAGTCTCTAAAGTTCAACAGCCTGATTACCACTTCCCTTTTTAACAACTTTACAAATATTAAGCATTTTAGTAGATATCTTTAGCAAATATCTCTGGATAGCATTTCTAATATTAATGGTAAAAGATAAGTAATATAGTTGTTGCTAACCATTAATGTTCTGAGTTTTTCTCTTCTTCTTCTGAGTTTAATAATTTCAGTGTGGAAAAATTGAGACTAGAGGAGATGCTCGAGGCTCCATTTTATTACTATTTACTTTTCTGTAGGAAACAAAGTGGAAGGCAGTTATTCTTTAATATTAAGTTGAGGGACCAAGGTCTGAAATTTGTCTCATTTCCTCTCCCTGATTTTCTTTAGTGTAGATGTGTTTTACACCTTCATTAAGATTTCATGCATTTTCTGCTAAAATCCAGTGGGAACTTATACCACTATCATCTGGCAGCCTTTTATGCTGGTTTTGATAGAGTTGGAAAAAACACACAAGGGAGACAACTTGCAGTCCATCAGCTGATTTCTTGGTATGGAAAGAGTATGTTGTATAATTATGAAGAGTTGGTCTCATCTGAATCAAATTCTTTCAAGGCAAATAAATGAAAATATTTATTAATTATCTATTGTATAACTTATACGCTGCCACAATTCAGGAGATTGTTTTCAGAATATGCTTTTAAAAATTTAACTGAAGTTTCAAGGCAGAGGTACAAATGAAAGCCAACTCATGGCTTGTTGGCCTGAACAATTCATCTTGCAGATGACTTTTAATTCTTATTGAAATCCCTGACTTTATTTTTAAAAGCTCTACATAGTACTCCTCTTCAATGGGTTATGCTAAATCTTCTGTGCCACTTTTCTTTTGATTAATTGCTGTTTTTTTTAATCTGTTTTGAATGTTATAAGCTGCCCATGATCCTTTTAAATTGGGCTACCTTTCAGATTATATAAATAAAGTATGATCAAGACATGAGTTACTGTCACAAGAATATCTGTAATCAGATAGAGTCATAATTGGTACACCAGTCAAAGGTGGATCAAGGCTTCAGAACTCTTGCTTAAGTAAGAGTTCCAGAGAACTTCACAGTCAAGACCCATCCCTTTTTGAGTGAACACTGAGATAATTATTATTAGCACCAATGTTTAAATGTTTAAACAACTCTGGTTTGCCCCATCCGAATCATCATATCCTCTAAGAGCCAGTTCAGGATTTACACAGTTTTCCTGGGGTAGGGTGATATGTATATATATAGCAGAAAGGTTAGCCCAATCTTATTTCTTCCCCTTACATAAATAAGTAGCTTTCTTTCCATTGCTCTTGAAGTATTGCTATAGGCAATACATCTGTTTTAATTGTCTTTAAATTTTAGAACTAACATTCACTTTTAAGATCATATATGACTTTAATTTTACAAATATTGATGCTGGTTTACATTGTTGCTGGATATCAGCAAAATGGAAACTATTATGGAAACTATTATGACAAAAAGAATATGTGAATATGTATAATTTCCATCCCACTTACACAATCTTTTGAGTGAATTTTAGTTGGAATATATATGTGTATTTAGCATCCATGGCATATAACATCAGTTCCCGAAGGATTACTGAACTGGAAATAAAGTGTATGATTATTATATAAATCTTATTCTGAGTGCTAAAGAGGTAATATATCATAAAAATTCAAATCTATGATCATTCTGAACTGAAAGATCTGAAAATGCATAGATTGTGTAGAATCTATTTTTCTCAAGAAAATGATTCATTCTTCACTTTACAGTTGAGTAACAAAAAAGTGAATAATCTTTGAAGGAATTAGAAGTGGCAAAGGATGCTATAAGGAATT